AGCACCTTTCGCTCTCCTTCCTTTCTCCCCCCCCCTTCGGTGTTGTTGACTTTCTGACCCCCACCCCCGCGAATAGCGGGTCTCCCTGGGCTCCCCGCCGCCCCCGCCGTGTTTACCCAGTGGGGTGTGTTGTGAGTGCGCATCCCTTCTCCCAAACTTTTCCCTGGATTTCCATTTCTCCTTCCAAAACCTCAGCCGAGGCTTGGCAGCTGCCACCGGGCTGTCCCCTGTGTCCAGTTCTCATGCAGACGGGGAATCCCCCAGCCAGGCCCGGGGACCGGGGGAGGGGGGGGACAATGGGGGGGACCCCGAGACTCCCGGGAGCCCGACCGCTCCGGCGGCGCTTTGCTCGCCTGTCCCACCCCAAGATCTGCGCCCAGCCCGGTCGGGAGACCGAAAGTGGAGGGCGAACAGTCGCCTTACAGAGGCCCCCCCCATGAGTCACCCGCTGGGGTGCTGGCGTTCCTTCCCCCCGAGAAAGTTGGACGGGGCCCAGTGGCCGATACGTTGGCAACCCCCTTGCCCGCCTGTTTGGGCTGGGGGACCCCGTCGGGAGACCTGGGCTGTAACTTACTTTCCCCAGCTTGGTTTCTGTTTGCAAACGAAGGCGCCTAGTGGGCAGTAGTGCTGAGCTTTCGGGAAACTTCCGAACCCGGCGAGGTTAGGAAGCGCTTCACTTTCGGTGCGGTCTTCCCGCCTCGCTGGGTTAATTTCTTCTTTGAATAACTCCGTGAGACCCCACACACAGGGCACCCAAGGCCATTTAGCACCACCCGGGAAACGGATGCACAATTAAAAAAAAAAAAAAAGATTTTCCCAGCTGCTGGATCCATCCCAATGGAATTAATACAGGGAGTTAGAGACCCGACGTTTCCCATTGTGTAGACAGGTTTCTTGTTTTCAAGCGCAGGCTTTCCAGTGCGGCTTATTTGACTGTTGAGTAGTTGAGGTATCTTCAGGCGTTTTAAAACTGAAGATAGTAAAACATTTGGAACTCAAGAACTTTCCTTTTCTCGGGCTGCTGTGTTTTATTACCCTTCAGGCTACTTGGTAACGGGGTAAAACCAACTTAAAATGCTTTGAGAAAAAATGCTCACTAGCTGTCATCTAACTTGGTGAGAAGGACGGTAACAACTGCCCTGTATGAAAACAAAAACTCAAATATTCGTTTAAAGTATGGAATTAATGGACCCTTGAAGTGATTTTCTTGAGATGAATAGTTTAGCGGTGTTCAAACTTATGTCTATATATTTAATGGAGATTGGAGTGGAAAATGCGAACAATAGTCCTTTAGTTAAAGAAAAACCCATAACTAATCTTTGGAAAGCTATTGGACGTTTTTGTTGGTTTTTTTTAATTCTTTCCCTGGATAAAGCAAATGTCAAGCATATATTGATCACTTTTTAAATTAGACTTTATAGTGGGTCATTTTTCCCAACTCTCAAAATCTCTCTTTTTTTAAACCAGATGAAAAAGTATGCAAAACTAATATTTGATCGTGGCATGGCAGTGTGCATTAGTAAAACTGGTTGGAAAGTTTATTATTTAGAATCAAAGGCAGTTGAATGGATAAAGGGACTTGGGGGCTTTTCTGTTGAAATGTATGACTAGACTTAATCAGTTCCAACTTTATACTTAGTTTCACCGGGGAAATGGAAAGTTAACATTCTCTCTTTGTTTCCTGAAACATCCTATTGAATTGATGTTTTAAAACAGTTTAACACCTGCTTGCTTTCCAGATAACCTGGTGGAAAGTGAAAGCCATTACTGTTAAAACGTTTGATGGATGGTTCTCCTAACAAGACATTCCAGATATGACTCACCAATGCTAATTTGTTTCTGTGCCACATCTTTCCCCCTGGCACTGGGGATTTCATGGTGCCACATTCTGCCACCCTGGGTGATGAAATAACATATCTGTTTTGGTTTTTGGCAGCACAGAAAACAGAAAGCTTGGGCAGGTCTAAAACGCCTTGCAGTTAAAAGAGATGGGAGATAATTAGAACCCTGATTTGATGATGCTAATCAAATAAAAGTCTACCCAGAAGTTATATTTTAAAAATAAAACACTTTACTGAGGGCAGGCCATGGTGGTTCCTTTACTCTCTCTCCCCCAGGGAACACCTTGGGGGGAACCCCTTCGAGGCTTCATGTAGAAGTGAGGGGAGCCTGGGAGTCCTCAGGGAGTGGTTCCTGTAGTGGGCTCTGCGGTCTGCAGCGTCCCGCCCTCAGCATGGACCTGGCATGACCCTCTTGTGAGAGTGAGTGGCGGCTGTGCTGTACTGATACATTGTTGCCACAGACAGCTGAGTCGGTAAGGTCGCAGTCAGTGCCTTAGCCCTCCATCTCACTGATGGTTGTGCAGAATTGAAGAATACCTCTGAACACTGCAAGTCCCAACTTTGTCCAGAAGACTTGCATTCGCTCGTATCTGTTAGCCTTTGAAATTGTCTATCCTTGCTCTCTTCAGCTATGAACCGTTCGGGTACAGGATGGGAACTTGGGGGTCTTACACCTACCTAGGCTGGAAAGGAGGTACCGGTAGGGTTCAAATTCTATAAAGTTTCTACTGATGTCACCCAAGTAGACACCGACAGTTACAGAACTCCGTAAATTCAAAGTGGAGTGTAAATCGTATGTTTCCAGGACTGAAAAGGAAGATGAGATTAAAAATCTATAAAATTAGAATTGATAGCGCTGAATGCCCCACCCCTACCCACGAAACACTTGTGGGAGACCTGTTCTGCGTTTAGCGATGGGGCTGTCGTCATCAACGTGTGATGGGAGACATTCTTATTCATCAGCGATGTCTGCTGAGTGTCCTTGCCCATCGGGAGGAAGTGCGTGCGTGCGTGTGCTGTAGAAGTTGTGATTATACAGTGAGAAGGATGAGTCAGTAAACGTGTGTGCATCACATATTTGGAACTCAGCCCTGAGTACATGCTCCTTTTAGGGCTACCAAATGCAAGCGTAGGGGCTTGGGCTTACTTCCAGCGTTACGGAAATCATGTTGGTGAATAACAACTATTAGGAAGAGCTGCAGTGAGTCCTTGGAGGGGAGCGTGCAATTTACAGACAAGTTGTACTTGCCCTTTAAGGTTAAATAAGTTTGTACTCACTTTCGTATGATTGAAGTAATCCCTACTTGCAATAAATTCTTCATCACAATCACCTTCATTTGCTGCACCTGCAGCTTTTAATGCATTCAAAAGGGTTCGAGCCTCTTTTCCCAATGAAACCAAAATCCCACTGCTGTGGAGTCCCTGCAGAGAGAACTGCCTCATGGGGTTTCTGGGGCTGTAGAGCCTTATCGAAGCAGGCTGGGTAGGCTCAACCTGCAGCCCAGCCCTTAACCAGCCCACTGTCCAGTGCTTAACCCCCTGTGCCACCAAGAGTGCTGTCTTGTACTCACCAACCAACCAGACCCTATGGACAAAACCACGGGCTTCTGAAATTTTAACTCTTTACAGGAGTAGGCACCCTCATCTTTATCCTATGGAGCGGCTTGTAGGTGGAAACCGCTGTTAACAGCTGTTAACTTGCAGTTAACAGCTGAAGTGTAGCCCATCAGGGTTCCTTTCGGACTCCTGGTAACCCCAAAAAAGAATCCCGAAAACGGGGAATTTTAAAAGAACAAAAAAGCCCCGCCTTCCCCAAAGGAAAGGCCGGGGGGGTGGAAACAAGGGGCCTCCGGTCCGAACCCCAAAACCAACCCAAAACCCCAAAAAAACCCCGGCCTTGCACTAAAGTAAAGCTAGCTAAGAACTGTGTGCACCTGTTCCAATTGACCTGCAAATGCAACTTAAAGACACTTAGGAATGGATCTCGCTGGTAACCCAAGGATGACCTGTATTTCAGGAATGTTCCCATCATTTCCTAGATGTTTATCAGTATGGAGAATTTTGAAGGAATCAAATCCAAGCAGTCAGCTACTCACTAATACCAAGAGCCTCAGCTTAGTTTCAGGACAACTAAATGAAATTTCCAGACAGTGTCCAGCACCCGGTTTGGGAGTGGAAACAGCAAACGCCTGACACTTTAAGAAAGTCTACAGCTGCCGAAAGAAGATGAACATAAAGCAATTTAAAATATTTGGCGTGCTGTTGATTTTTTCTTATTTAGTCTATCTCGAGGGCTTGGCCAGCTAGCTAAAGGAGGCAGACTTGCAGGGCGAGATGAAATAAGCTGAACTCCACTGGCAGGTGTGTTGTCAACGGCCAGTTTCACAGGTGCCTTCCCAGTCCACGCATGGCAGCTCTCCGTCCCCGCAGGCTTGGGCGCGAGCTGAGTGCAGACGGTGAAAGGAAACTTGACTACCCTGTGTGTTCAGAGTGTGAGGTGCCTCCTGGCTCAGTCACTACAACCTCCGGATGCAAAGGGAGAGATCTGGTACCTTTTCTTTCCTAGGTAGCTGATGATGTCACTGTGTGCATGTGTGTGACTGTGTGCTGCTGCAGTAAGGTACCGCTAAATACGGACCGGGGTGTCTGCAACATACTTTTTTGGACAAGTGATTTAAACGTGGTCTCAGCACTGACGGCCCAAGAGCGCTCACTATTCCATCAGCTGGGATGTCCATCTGAACCAGGGTGGTGTGGTTTTGTGGCCTGTGTGAAAGCAGGATCGTCAGCAACTCAGGCGGACAAGCCTTGTGTTGTTTGCATGATGATTGATTTACACTGCTTCTTGTAAGGAGCTGCGAGGACCAGCTGGGTGCTGTTGGTTCTCTGCTGCAGACGCGGGCTCAGGCCCCTGGAGCATGTTGAATTTTGAAGGTCATTGTGAGAGGCCGAGTTTCTGAAGTGTGACTGTTTGGTTTTAGGCCCATGAAGCCTCCCACCACCAACAGCAGGCAGCACAGAACAGCTTGCTTCCCCTCCTGAGCTCTGCCGTGGAGCCCCCTGATCAGAAACCATTGCTTCCAATACCAATAACTCAGAAACCTCAGGCTGCACCCGAGACATTAAAGGATGCCATTGGGATTAAAAAAGAAAAGCCCAAAACTTCATTTGTGTGCACTTACTGCAGTAAAGCTTTCAGGGACAGCTATCACCTGAGGCGCCATGAGTCCTGCCACACAGGGATCAAGTTGGTGTCCCGGTCAAAGAAAACGCCCACCACAGTGGTTCCCCTTATCTCCACCATCGCTGGGGACAGCAGCCGAACTTCACTGGTCTCAACCATTGCGGGCATCTTGTCAACAGTCACTACATCCTCCTCGGGCACTAACCCCAGCAGCAGTGCCAGCACTACAGCCATGCCAGTGACCCAGTCTGTCAAGAAACCCAGTAAGCCCGTCAAGAAGAACCACGCTTGCGAGATGTGTGGGAAGGCCTTCCGAGATGTGTACCACCTCAATCGGCACAAGCTCTCCCACTCGGACGAAAAGCCTTTTGAGTGCCCTGTTTGTAATCAGCGCTTCAAGAGGAAGGACCGCATGACGTACCATGTGAGGTCTCACGAGGGAGGCATCACCAAGCCCTATACTTGCAGTGTTTGTGGGAAAGGCTTCTCGAGGTACCGCATTTTGCTCTGTGTTTTCTTCATTACATCACAGTAAAACTTTGTCTTTATTTCCAAGTTGTGATCTTGAAGGTGTACAGGGGACTAGCGAGGGGCAGGCCTGTGTTATTAGAAGAGATTGGCAGTGGGCAAGGAAGCATTAGACCTCCAGGTCTGAATTCAGTTTTGTCCGGTTGACAAGTGGTGGCACAGTGATCTAACTTATCGCTTGATTAAGATGTGCCGGGTGAGCTTGAGCCTTCATTTGGCACAGGGCGCTTCTCACTGCAAAACCACTCGCTTCCGGGCCAGTTGGGGTTCACTGTCTGCAAATTGGAAGGACTTGTTTCCTGAAGGTCGAGATGACCTTGGGTACGCTTGATAAAGCTTTCACGGGATATTTTCCCTTTTGGGGGAGAGCTACCATTTTAGGAATTATTGTATTACCTAAGTTTTTAAAGTTAATAATAGTAGTAGCAATTTCTGGCCAACGTTAGGACTAAAACTTTGGGTATTTTGTACTTACGAAGATATTGACTACAAGGAAAATGAACAGGTAAAGTACTAAGACTTCTTTTTTCTTTATTTTTTACTGTGAGAGAGGTAAGGAGGCTTGTACGGGGGTTGGGGAGTCAGTGATTTTACTAGCTTTCTTTAAAATATTCCTGAATCTGCCAGTCATGTAGGCATCACAGTAAGTAGCATTTCTCTGTGTGTGTTCCATTACATCTTCTTTGAAACTCTCTCTTTCACAGGCCTGACCACTTAAGCTGTCACGTAAAACATGTCCATTCAACAGAAAGACCCTTCAAATGCCAAGTAAGAGTTAAAATGACTTATCCTTAGTGTAGCACTTAATGCACATTATCCAGAAGGTCCGAGCCAATCAAAGCTCACAGTTCTTGAATAATCCTAAAAGCACAGATTTGAGTAAATGTGGTCTATTTGAATATTAGTTTTATGAAATCTAAATGACAGCTTCTCTCTATGAGCAAGATCATTTAAGTTGAATGTATTGTTTTTGCTAAGCTACACTTCCCTTGAGCAACAGAATTTTTGTTGTGAAAGGGGGAAAAATTAATAGTCTTGCAAAGGTCATGTTATGTATTTGAAATTAATAAAAGAACAAAGTGCTTTAAATTAATTCCTGGGTTGATGATTGGAGTTGTGTTAAATTATAATAGGAGAAAATATTAAATTTTCCCAAATGTTATCACTTAATGAGCTTTTGTCTATTGCCAAAGCTGGACCATTTTTTAGTTAGAAAATCTATGTTTATGATACCTTTGGTATAAGCGGTGACAATGAAAGACGTAGATCTCGCTAACTCAAACGACTAGTTTAGGGTCAGTCATTCTGGTTGGTTTCAGGAACTCTCTTCTTGGACCTTTCAGTTAGGTTGTTAGGAGTGATCTCATTAGGTGACTGCTCTGAGTCTAAGAAAGCCCAGCCGCAGGGAGGCAGCTCCTGTTCACTGAGTTGGGTGCTTGCTCGGGGCCAGGCGCGTCCTCCAGCAGCGATCCTGAGAGGTGGTACTGCTGTCCCCGTTTCACAGTCCAAGAAACAGACTCAGGGAGGTGGACTAGCTTGTCAAGGTCAGCGAACACTGCCTAGTAAATTGTAGATTTGGATTGGAAGCAGGTTTAACTGACTCTAAAATCTCCCCATCTCTGCACCACTCGGTGCTGGTATTTTCCTTTCTTTTCTGAAATGCAAGTGTCTGAAAGTCTCCACACATTTTGAAAATTATGATTCTGTGTAGCACCTGCAATGAAAATCCCTGTAGCTCAGGCTGCTTGCTGATGCGGGTGGGGTACTGCCTAGAATATAACATATCTTAAAATGAGTAGAACAGGATAGTCTATATTTAAAAAAAGTTTTCCTCCCTCATGCAGACATGCACTGCTGCCTTTGCCACCAAAGACAGACTGCGGACCCACATGGTGCGCCACGAAGGCAAGGTATCGTGTAATATCTGTGGGAAACTTCTGAGTGCAGCATACATCACCAGCCACTTAAAGACACATGGGCAGAGCCAAAGTATCAACTGTAATACATGTAAACAAGGCATCAATAAAAGTAGGTGACCCTTAATAGTTTGTTTTTGCATTTCAAATCTATGACATCTCGGTGCTTTATGATGTTTCCAAGGTATTGTCACTGTGCTCTCAGGAATATGTGTATGTGCACCTTCCATGTGTCCTCCTGTTGCTCCAGCATGCAAACACGCAGCGCTGGGAAGAGTGTGCTCATGCCAGAAATGTGCTCCTCACGCCCCACTCTCTGCACACACAGTGCCGATAAACTCGGCTGTGCTTGACTGCTGACGGCATCCCCGTTATTAGGGAAGCAGACATTCCCCATGGCTAGTCCATCCGTGTGTCCGTCCTAAGGATTTGCATAAAGAGCTCTCATGTGTTGGGATGGAAAGACCAGAAAGAAACAAGGAAGTTGTGTTTCATGCCAGGCCATTTTGTTTTACTTAAAGTTAGGAAGGTTCTTAAATGTCAATGTCTGCTAATTCCTGGTGGTTTGAAGACTGCATCCTTGATAATAATCTTAAAGGTGAACATACTATTAGTAAGCTTGCTTTTCAAACCTAGAACTGTGGAGACATGGGTATCATCTCCATTTGAAGTTGA